TGGGGGAAACTGCCATGGTCCAGAAGAGATTCAGAGAAAGATTCCAGAATTGGTCACATATTAATGATCTGCTTCACTGTGCCTTTACGCTGTTGGTTTTTATGTTTTGTTTTGGATTACGCACTTTGAGCAGCCAATGAACGCTACAGACCTTTCTATAAAACGCAAATACCTTCAGATGAGAAACTCCTGCGTTCAGCAGATTCAGGGCAGCCCCAGCCATAAGACTTCTTGTTTTGTTCCTGTTAACTTTGTGTTTCTACCACTCTGTGAAGGGTTTCTTCCCCAAGAAAACATGATGATGGGGCCGCAGCCTTTCCCCTTAACCGTGGTCTGGTCTTAGACCAGCAGTGAAACAAGCAGCCACTTAAAGTATAAAACTACTTTGTCGTGACATCTTGTTTTGTTGGTGGAAATGAAGTCAGATTCCCTTCGTCCTCCTCACCATTTGACGTCTTGGCCTGTTCTCTTTTCTGGGGATTCTCCTAACTAATTTTCTTCGAGAGATGTCTGCTGAGCTTTCTTTTTGATTCTCTTACCTCTTTCCTTTTGTTCAAGATACTTTTATTTCCACTCTTTCCATCTGTGACAGATGTGCCATTTCCCATTGTTTTGTTTTGTTTTTTTCTCCTTTTCCAAGAATTATATATTACTACTACTCTTTATTAAGAGCCTTCTGGCCAGGCACAATGCTGGGCTCTTTACATATCTTATCTTAGTCCTATAACATGACTTCATCTCATTTTAAACAAGTATAAACTGAGCTTTGGAGAACTGAGTAACTTGCCCAAAGTCCCATAGCTAGGGAGTGGTAGAAGGATTTGAATCTAGGTCATTTTGACTCAACAGCCCAGCTTCTTAACCATGATAACACTATAGATTAGTAAAGTAACTTAGAGTTCAGTAATTCAGATTACCTCATGTATAGCAGATGAATGTTTGGACAGTAATGGGTCATGCTTATTGACTACTAATTATGTGCTATATAATTATGTGCATTTTTTCTTCAACAACCCTATGCGTTAGGAGCTATTATATTAACCCATTTTGTGATAGAGAATATAAGACCCATAATCTACCCTCTTGGGAGCTCACTAGTAAGGTTTTGGAATATATCTATCTGTGAAGCAATATTTCTATAGCAAAGTTACCTTAGACCTGGAATATGGGAAATATAGCAGGGTTTATTGGCAACTGTTAAAGTACAGCTGAGTGTGACAAGCAGAGAAGAAATGCTTTAAGGACATACTGAAGCATTTCCAATGAGAGGGGTTAACTGGGAAACCGCAGAGGCAAACCAAGTTGAAAAGTAACAATCACAACTATATTTGAGACAAGTCATCATCAGTCTAAACAAGAGGCTCATTTCTTAGCATAATAAAAAATTATCTGTTTGTGCCAGGTATAGTAGCTTGCACTTGTAATCCTAGCTACTCCGGAGGCTTAGATGGGAGGATAACTTGAGATCAGGAGTTCAAGACCAATCTGGGCAATATAGTGAGGCTCATCTCTACAAAAAAAAGAAAAAAATTAGCTGGTCATGGTGATGCGTACCTGTAGCTACTTGGGAGGCTGAGATGGGAGGATTGCTTGAGCCCAGAAATTCAAGGTCACAATGAGCTATGATCATACCATTGCACTCCAGCCTGGGGGACAGAGTGGGACCTTGTCTCTTTAAAAAAAAAATTATTTGTTGAAACCAACAACTAATATTATGATTAGCATTGAAATACTATTTTTTTTTTATTTTTTTATTTTTTAAGAGACAGAGTCTCACTTTGTTCCCCAGGGAGAGTGAGTGCCGTGGCATCAGCCTTGCTCACAGCAACCTCAATCTCCTGGGCTCAAGCGATCCTCCTGCCTCAGCCTCCCTAGTAGCTGGGACTATAGGCATGTGCCACCATGCCCAGCTAATTTTTTGTATGTATATTTTTAGTTGGTCAATTAATTTCTTTCTATTTATAGTACAGACGGGGTCTCGCTCTTACTCAGGCTGGTTTTGATCCCCTGACCTTGAGCAATCCACCCGCCTCGGCCTCCCAGAGTGCTAGGATTACAGGCATGACCCACCACGCCCGGCCTGAAATACTATTTTGAATAAAGAACAAAACAGAGCAACCACTCATAGCTATTAGGAAATTACACTTGAATAAAATCCAGATTTTTTACCCAACTTCCAGGGTCCATGGCGTTCACCGCCTTCCTACTTCATCAGTATCTCCTGCCACTCCCTGCCTTGATCTTTATTTATATCAAATCTAGCAACTGGCCATCAGTTCCTGGAACATACCAAGCTCTTTTGTGCTTTGGGGCCTTCGCATTTGTCTTTCCATCTGCCTGAACACTCTTCACTTGCTAGTTCTTGCTCATCTTTCAGGAGGCTTTTCCCTGACCATCATATCTAGAAGAGGTTGTCCTTTCTTCTTCTCTGACTTTTCCTTTTAGCGTCTTTCTTATTTCCTTTGTAGCATTCCTCATGTCTTTGTAACCGTCTTGTTTTTCTCTGTTTATTTTATGTCTCTTCTCTTAAACTTGAGCTCCACGAGGACATTACTGTATTCACAGCTGTATCCCTAGCACTTAGAAGAATGCCTGACACATAGAAGTTGATCTGTAAATATTTCTTGAATGAATGAATGAAAAATCACTTCTTTATCTATGAAACAGTAGTAGCCAGGTAGAAAATAGAATGATGATGAAAAGACATTAATGACAGAAATAAAAAATATAAAAAGAGCCTAGGAATGAACTTAACAAAAACTGTTCAGGGCCTGTATTCATTCATTTGTTCGGCAGTACATATGCTAGGCACTGTGCTAGGCACTGTAATTTAAAAAATGAATAAGGCAAACATGGTCTTTGCTTTTTGTGAACTTAGAAAAACAGAAAATTTACCTGAGTGACCCAGGCATGAAGACATCATTTCTAAAAATAGCATGTGTACTATACTATTTAACCCAGAACTACTCCTATTTTTTTTTTATTTGGGAGGCAGGGAAATGGGGCAGGGATAACAGAACAAAATTATTTGAAGTTTATCTAAAAAAATAATGCTCAGTCAATTTGATTTCTATTTTTTTCTTTTTTAAAAGAAGAACAGTGGTGGGTACTCTGGTTAGTCATATTTCAGAGCCATTTCACTATAGTACTGGCTTTGAAATAAGCCACATGTATAGGAAATAAGAATAAGATAAAGATAACATTTCACATTGCTCGAGAATGAATGTCAGTGTCAACCATTGATATTGGCATGTGGGTCAAATCATCTGGGGAAAAAATCAGATTAAATCCTTACCTCAAACCATAAATTTTTTTTCAGATTGATTGAAGATTTAACTATAAAAAGTGATACCATCAAAGTACTAGAAGATAATACAGATGGATTTAATAATACAGATGATATAAAAGTGAGAGTATAGATGGATATAATCTTGGTGCAGGAAAGGCCTTTTGAAGCAAGAACAATAGGCATAAACCTTAAAATAAAAGTTTGGTAGATTTGAGTGCCTAGGATTCAAAAACTTCTGGATAGCAAAGAAGGGGACTATTTTTCCAAAAAAGGAAAAAAGAAGGGGACTATTTTTAACTTAATACTAGGGGTGGTTAATAAGCTTAACATATAAAATATTCTTTTAAACCAGTAAGTGGGTTATATCTAGAGTCATCAAATCTTACAACTAGGAAAGGTCTAATCCAATGCCTACATGTTATAGATTGGGATACTGCGGCCCAGACAAGAAAATTCCCTTACTCAAGGCCATATAGCTGGTCAGTAGGATTGCTTTGCCCAACCCTCCCTACAGTTGAGATTGTAGTTATCTGGGTGCAGAGAGTTAATAAGATAATGCAGCCACTATGCCTGCAGAAAAATTTAAGTTGTAGACAGTTCTACAGTTTAAATAGTACAGTTCTACCTACGTACAATTCCAAGAAAGGATCAGGGTTTGTTAGAAAAATTAGATTTTCAAGCCTTAGATAAAATGCTTAGAAGATTATTAGCTGGCAATGCATATATAATAACATTTTTGAGTTTCCATTTTTTTAAAAAAATTAATCAAATTAGATATTGACATTTTATTATAATCTAATTTGCTTTGATCATGTTTTAGGGAACCTTAAGTATTTGAGCAGAGAGGCCATAATTCTTGGATCACTATGTGCCTAGAAGCAGCTTATCTGAATTTCAAGCTTAGTACTAAGTAGAAATAAAAAGCAACTTTTGAAATGTGCCTGCCTTGTTTGTAAAAATGAATCATTTAAAGTGATGGCATTTGTCCACATTGACAACAAAATTCATAATATTCATTCATTTTGGCAAATTATGTGCTGCCTGTATGTCAACACTGGGCAAGATTACAAGGATTAAAACGAAACAAACACAAGTAAACAAACACATGAGGTCTTAGTCCTTGGCGTCAGGGAGCTCAGTATGTGTGGCCTCCAAACGATGGGAAGATCTTAAAGTGTATACAAGGTACAACCTCAGTACAAAGGAGGGAATCATTCGCCTGTTTTGAAGCTACTTGGAGAAGGCTTTCAGGGGATTTACAGATAAATGAATATCAGTAACCAGAGGGCATCACAGAGTTCTTTCCTCTCCTTCAGATTGAATCTTCTTAATTTAATTGCTTTAGGAATTTTCTGTTTGCAGTGTTCGATGTGTTTCTGGAACTGAGTGGTTTCTTCATGAACATTCTAGTAAATTTCACTTCTGGCAAAATCCCTCTATCCCTCAAAGGAAAAAAAAATATTGTTAATATTTTCCTGTGGCCTTTTGCTGGCATCTACCAAGAAATGTTTGGATTTATTTGATACTTCTTTTTAAAAATGTTCTTTTCTAACTACTGCTGGGAGCTATTTTTTCTACTTATTCTCTTTTAATTTATTTTATTATATTTTTACTACTTCTTATTCCAAAACAATTTAATTTTATCTATTGTAATTTTGAAATGCGTACCCTTTGCTTTCATTAAAGCAAGCTATGTTAATATTTCTCTCAGGGGTGAATCAGGTGCTGGGAAGACGGAAAATACGAAGAAAGTCATTCAGTACCTTGCCCACGTTGCTTCTTCACATAAAGGAAGAAAGGACCATAATATTCCTGTAAGTTTTAGCTCTGTTGGTGTTTTTTAAATCTTAGTTTTATTCTTTTATAATTTCAGAACCAAAAATAAGGAAGCTGGTCTACTTCATGCACTGCTGTAATCAACAGCTCCCTTGTCGCCCCCCCCCCACACCCACCCAGCAATGCCTTTTTCACTCAAAAGGAGCAAGGATATAGGAAATTGCTATTAAGTAGGTTTTCTAACAGGGCAAACTGGAAATTATGGTTGTGACTTGAATCCTAACTTCTTGCAAAGATTTGGTGAGAATTGTTAAAAATTGTTTAGCAGTGCTTATGAAGACTTCTTATTTTCCACCAAGAAAAAGATCCTTACATATTTTTAGGAGTTCTTTCTGAGCTTGCAGAATTGCCTGCTGTTGCTGCCCCCAGCAGCTTGAGGGGAGGGTAGAAATAAGAGAAGAATTGATGATTAGAAAAAGGGTAAGAACAGAAATGTCAGTTATCCTTAACTTCGAGATATGCAGAAGTGGTAGTTGATATAGCCTGAGAGAATGCCAGCCAAACTGGCTTCCACAGTTCTAACCTGCACATTTGCTCGGTGCTTTGGATGTGGCTTACTGCTAGGGGAGACCCAAACTTGCTAACATTTGCATTTATCTGTTTGTAATGAACAGCAGGAATCGCCTAAACCGGTGAAACACCAGGCAAGTGCTTTTCTTTATGCTTCTTAGTCTTTTGAGTGTTCGCACTAATTTCTGTCTTTAGATTGAATCTCTACTAGAAACAAATACAATTAGTTCTGAGTAAAATCTATTGTAAAAAATATTTAATTTTGAAAATTTATTGCTTAGGGCCTTATTCTTTCATGAGAAGCAGCATGCTGTTTTGCTTTAAGTTTGTTTTCTAGATAAATGTCAATATTTATTTTCTCTTTTATCATGACATTGAATTACATGTTTATGAAGCCTATAAACTTATGGTTTCATAAGTCAAATACTAGGTGGAATTATTTTAATACTTCTAAATACGTGGAAACCTAGCTTTGTGCTGTACACTAAATTTTGAATTTGGAGCTGACACTTTAAAAGTTATACCTTTTGGGTTAACAAATTTCTAATCTGTTAAAGTTTTATGGCATTGTACAGTTTATGCCTATGTTTGTTTTCACCTAAAGTCCTCACTGTATTTAATATATAAAATAAGTTTAGAGTTTTCTTTCTGCTGGGCAAGTAATGGAAGAATGTTAGTCTTCCTAATTATCAGTTGACTGCCTTTAGCTCTGCAGAGCATAGAAATGAACAGACAAAAAGCAGGGCATGACCTCAATTTCCTGCTACCTGGGAGGAGAGGAAGGGCAGAACTGAGTCCTTGGATAGAGTAGGATGTCTGTACTTGGACTTAATCCTTTCCCTAGCGATGAAACTGTTTTGGTTTGTCTTTTAAGCATAATGACACAAAGCTAATATAAAGCAAGAAACAATAACATTGAGTTATGGAAATGATATATTAATATAAAGAATTGATTATAAGTATTTTAAGAAATTGTCATAGATACTGAGATTTTCAGATATCTTTCTTAAAATCCTTACAAATTGTCAGACACCAAAGCTATACTATATCTATGAAGCTTCTTTTGCTCCTTTAGCTATGAACTAGAACAGTAATACAAATTGGGAGAATTAATGAAATAATCATGAAATATCCTATAGGCTATTTCAAGGCTTTTTTACCAGTTAAAGAAGGAAAATCTGGACCAGAAACCAGCTTTTCTTTGTGCTTTAGAGGTACATCCTAAATGTACATGCCAAATACATACCTGGTTCACTAGTGAAATAGTATTAAGCGGTTAATGTACAGATTTAGGTTTTCCAAATCCTCTGGAACACATAAATCATTATCGTTAACATTTTGTTTCGATGTCATTTTAAACTACAGAGTGGATCCCTGTTGTATGTGAGTAGCATGCTTACCCCTAGATTTTACTTTGGGTCAAATCACTCCTTGGAAAGCAAGTTCTCCCAAAGAAGGCAACAGCTTCTTTGGGCCATGCTTCCCTGTCATTGCTGATCTGCATGTCTTACTTACTGCATGTATTCACTATGCACAGAATCTTCAATGCTGCTTTTCCCAAGTTGGTTTTAATTGTAGTCAAGTCAAATAGTAACTGTGGTGATGTTTTTAGAAACATTAGAATAGCGGTTCTCAATTTTTCTTCCCCAACACATCTGCAGGATGTGAGATACTCAGCAGCATGGGAGAAAATAGTCATGCCCTGGGAAGGGTCCTGTCACAAAATTACTTCTCCCTCTGCTGGGGTGACTCCTCACCACATTTTGAGAACGATTGTCTTAAAGTGACAGTTACAATGGGAAAAATAATTTGCAAGGCTACAGTTTCTTTTGGTTGATTTGATACCACTGGTTTGTGATTTTACGTTGAACTTTATAGGCAAAAGTTGTTCAGGTTCCCAGGAACTGTGGTATATATACAGCATTTTATCACTAGATAGTAGTATGAATTGTGAAAACAAAGGGAGAGATGTTTCTAGACTCCTGATTTTGTAAGTCTTTTATTTATTTGTTTATTTGCCCATTGTTTTTTGGAAACAGCATTTTTGAGAATTTCAGACCATACAATTTACCTGTTTAAAGCACAATTTAGTATTTTTTAGTATATTCACAATTATGCAATTATCATCACATCAATTTTAGAATATTTTTTTTCTCCAAAAGAAACACTATACCCATTAGCAGTCACCTCCTATTTCCCCCAGCCCTTGGCAACCACTAATCTACTTTCTGACTCTATGAATTTGCCTATTTTGGACGTATCATAGGAACGGAATCATGTAATATGTGTCCTCTCTGACTGTTCTTCCATTAGCATAATGTTTTCAAGGTTCATCCACATTGTAGCATGTATTGGTGCTCCATTCCTTTTTATGGCCAAATACCATTCCATTATATTAAGTATGTCACATTTTATTTATCTGTTCATCAGTTGATGGACATATGGGTTGTTTCCACTTTTTGGACATTAGAATTAATGCTACTATGACCATTCATGTACAAGTTATTGTGAGGACACATGTTTTCATTTCTCTTGGGTGCATACCTAGAAGTGGAATTCCTAGGTCATATGGTAACTCTGTTTAGCATTTTGAGGAACTGCCAAACTTTTTTTTAAGCTGCTGTACTATTTTACATTCCCACCAGCGATAAGTGAAGGTTCCAATTTCTCCATATCCTTGCTTGGCATTATCTGTCTTTTTATTATAGCCACCCTAGTGGTGTGGTGTGATTAGTCTTTTATGTTTACCTTTTCAACTTACCCTTCATTTTGAAAATATGAACAAATGTAAGTAAAATCAATTTTCAAAATTAAAGTCACAATACATAAGAAGTGAATTTTAAATAAACATTTGCCTATAGATATTTGGTGTACTTTTTATAACAAAATTAAAAGTCTCATTTGGCTTTATCCCATTAGTGTCCACCAGTCAACTGCAAGTACAGCTTCAGTGCCCTCTTTCCACATGAGAGGTTGCTGTTAGAGACCCTCAAAGTCTGGCACAGTGTTCATTGCCACTGCAAGACCCAATATGGTACAGTTTCAGAGCAGATTTGAAAAGGACTAATTTCTAAAACTTAGTCATCCTCTAAGAATGATTCCTTTAAGCCAGCCCACCTACTTCTCTGCCTTTTCACGTTATCTCCAGGATGACTTTGTAACCTTCCTCAGCCTGGTCCAAACTTCCTTGAACCAAGACAAAAAGGTGATAGAAAGCACATACAGAAATTAGAGCCTGCCAGTTGAAATTAAGAGTCTGGTTTTCATGTAATTGGCTACGGCCATCTGCCTCTAACCCTCCATTTGCGGTCAGTAAAACACTTGCAGCTTTGCCCCGCCCAGGCCTGCAAGGTGCAGCCTGATCCCAGCCCAAGTCCCCTTGCTGGCTGAACTCGAGTTTTGAAAGAGATGTGTACTTTTTTAGCCATTTAAAACTCATCCTTTATCATATAGCAAGTGTGTATTGTGCACTATATAGTACATATAAGGGTATAGTTTTCACCACGACTGGTAAACCTTTAAAGCATTATATAACTCCAGATACTTAGAGCTTTAAGAATAATTTCAATAGCTAACTCTGCTTTTTTTACACATTCCTAAATAATATTTCTCGTTTTCATTTAGAGTCGAAACAAGGGGCAATGCCATCCAAGTCTAGCAGAAAAGTGAATAATCACTGCCCCCTGATGGTTTATAAAAGCCTTCATAATTTAATTGAGAGATATTAACACCATTTATCTAATTATGAAATTATTCAACACACAATTTATCATATTTCATCATACTTTCTTAAGGCCATTTTGTATGTTTTATGATATTAACTTTGTGTGAAGCTTTTGGGGCCTCGTTTATGACTTTTTGAGATCTTTATTTGGTCTCCCTGATGTCATAAATCCATTAGGAGAAGTAATGTCATGACACTGTTAGTGTAGACAAGGGTCCTCAAACTTTTTAAACAGGGGGCCAGTTCACTGTCCCTCAGACCATTGAAGGGCCGGACTATAATTTAAAAAAAGCTATGAACAAATTCCTATGCACACTGCACACATCTTATTTTGAAGTAAAAAAACAAATGGGCAAAAACACCCACATGTGGCCTGAGGGCTGTAGTTTGAGGACACCTGGTGTAGTAGAACCAACAGCAGGGACAGAGGAATCCCAAGCCTACAATTACGATGGCGACTGTGAGGGCCCTTAACTCAAATCTTATAGCTGCCTTTGGCCCACTGCTGTACCCTCCCCAAACACTACAGGAATGTTTAGGACCTCTGATTTTACATTCATTCAGCAAACATTTGTGGAATCTCTTTTGAACTGATAATTACTGATCTAAGTGCAGCAGTATAGCCCGTACAGATCTAACTCTACAGGTTATTTTAAGCCAACACAAGGAAGAATAGAATTAGTAGATAACATACACACTAAGAGGAAAAGAAAAGAATCGACAGAAATCTTGACCCAAAGAATCCATATAACCATGTCTAGTAGACTGTCTAGAAGTACTAAAATAGGGTATGCATCATTTGCTTTATCCCCAAGTCAGGGAAACACTTTAAAGATAGATTATGAAAGTCTTTTCATTATGATTTGGCAGGGTAGTATATAATTTTAAGGAATCCATATTTTAATACCTCAATCAAACAGAAGATGGTTAGAGTAAAGGTAATGCCCTACTTACCAGGATATCAGTGTTTTTCTGATAGTTTCTACATTCTGATTATACAGGTTGAATTAGGCAAAAGCAGTAACAATAACAAAAACCAACTTTAGAGGCCCAAACAATCCTCCCAAAGCCAGTACACCAAGGCACTGCAAAATTTTAGTCATCGGCATGCTGATGAAAATGACCACTGACCTCGAGGGAAAAGGCAGTCGATTTTTATCACAGAATAATAGCTGACATTCTTAATGATGGCTTCTCAGTCATCAGATTGGTTCAGGATACCATGTTTGAGAAAGTTTGGCAGTGTATAATATTTTTAGAAAGATTTACATCAAAAATAGTCTGGTAAGTGCTTTGATGTCAACAAACAGGAAGATTTGCTATTACAGGGAGAAAATTATCTTATGCCAAGAAAGTGAAGTGATACCATGTAACGACATTCACATACTTTTAAGATTCTTGACAAGACCGGTTTTTGACGGTCTCAGTGGATCACAATTGTAGACTGTAGTTAAGACCTGTGAAAATGTGGCCAATCCAGATGAATGCTTTAGGGAGAAGTATTGGGAGAATGTCCCCTTCCTATGTGATGTGCCTCAGGAACACTTCTCACTCTTTCAGCTGAGTGACAGAGCCCAAACCAGGGTTGGCTGCCAAAACTATATGTATAGCAAAATCGTTCCTGTTTTTGGATTTGACGGTGGTGCAATGCATCACATAACAAATGGCCACTAATTTAGAAATCTTATGTGAGGTTCTTTATGTTCTTTTGTTTGCTTTGAGAATTTAGTTCGTTTTTCTCTAGGTCTAGAATACTGTGGGTGTTTTAAAATACAGAGGAAAGATTTGTGTTTGGAAAAAGCAGATTTATTTAAGTCATAAAATATAATTCTGAACTGACATTCCAGAAACACATGACTTTCTAGTGCTTCTCATGGCCAGAAATGACATCACGCTTTCTCATATAGCTTTCTATTGTGTTTCATGATTAAAGCACATATTAATATACTTAAATCTTTTGTTTGTAAAAATCTGTTTTATAGCAAATTTCATGTAAAAAAGACACCTGACTGAAACACACATTATACCAAGTACTCTATCTTTAGCCTTTTAAATCTGAGCAAGTCAGTAGCATCACCGTCTTTACCATCCTCTGAAAGTGGAGGTAAGGACATGGCCCTGTAAGAACATTGAGATTTTATGTGAAACCCCTTGGAAAAATGGAAAGTCTTATACCAATGCAGTGGTAATTATTTAATTCGCTATCTTAAATCTTTCAAACAAGGCAGAGTTAAAATAAACAGAAGTATAAGTATTAATATGTTCTTAATTGAAGTGTTATGATAATTTCATTTCACAAAATCGGTTTGTTTTATTTTCAGAATTCTTTTCTTAATTTATGTGCCCTGTGTTTATCTTCTTTGTTCGGTGTGACATTTTCTTCTTCTTGTGATCACTCTGTAGGTGCTAATTTTTGCCTTTAGCAGAGCTCATTATTATAACTAGGAATAAGAAGCCAACAAGAGTTGCTGGATGCAGACAGGAGGAAAGGACTGAGGAATAGAGGCAGTGTCTTTTTTTTCTTTTCCCCTCAGGTCTTGAGTAGAGACATTGGATTAACATACATCTGCTTTTATTTGTGTGTGTGTGTGCATGTATGTGTGTATGTGTAATGTCTTCTAGGGGGAACTTGAACGACAGCTTTTGCAAGCAAATCCAATTCTGGAATCATTTGGAAATGCGAAGACTGTGAAAAACGACAACTCATCTCGTTTTGTAAGTTTAAAAAGCACCAGGAACTTTCTAATTCCTCAGATTTCTAGTTCAGTGTCTACCACGAGTAAGCAAATGAATCACTTTTCTTCTTAGATTTTAAGGAGAGGATAATAGATGTAGTATAGAACAGTGTTGTTCTGTAGAAATATGTCACATGTAATTTAGAATTTTCTAAATTCTACATTTAAAAAAGAAAAAAGGTAATGTGAAAGTTATAATCATATTTTGTTATATAGGGATGAATAATTATGTGTATTTTTATAGATATATAATCATATAACCTCTGAACTTATTTCTTTATCTTTCACTGGGGATGATAATATGGAGATATAATGATGTGCATGTTGAGTACTTAGCTCAGCAGTGGGCATAATAAACATTCAACACATGAAGTTGGTGTTAGATGTAGTGAATTGACCTTTCATATTTTTAAAATTTATTTTATCTTATTTTTTATTTTATTTATTTATTTATTTAAGACAGAGTCTCACTCTTGTTGCTCTGGTTAGAGTGCTGTGGCATCAGCCTAGCTCACAGCAACCTCAAACTTCTGGGCTCAAGCAATCCGTCTGCCTCAGCCTCCCGAGTAGCTGGGACCATAGGCATGAGCCACCATGCCCGGCTAATTTTTTCTATATATTTTTAGTTGGCCAATTAATTTCTTTCTCTTTTTGGTGGAGATGGGGTTTCACTCTTGCTCAGGCTGGTCTCGAACTCCTGAGCTCAAATGATCTACCCGCCTCGGCCTCCAGAGTGCTAGGATTACAGGCGTGAGCCACCGCGCCTGGCCTTATTTTTTTATTTATTATTATTATTATCATTATTTTTAGAGAAGGGATCTTTGTCTGTCACCCAGGCTGGAGTGCAGTGGCATGATCATAGGTCACTGCAGCCTCAAACTCCTAGGCTCAAGTGATCCTCCTGCATTAATTAACCTCCCCAGTAGCATAAATGCATGCCACCATGCCTGGCTAATTTTTTTTTGTGTGTGTGTGGAGGTAGGATCTCACTATCTTGCTCAGACTGGTCTTGAACTCCTAGTCTCAAGTGATACTCCCGCCCCAGCCTCCTATAGTGCTGGGATTATATATCTTGCTATTTCTATGGGATTGAGACTTCGGAATAATTTGTCACTACTATCACTTCTCTTTAAAAATTCTTTTTAGCTGTTCAGCTATTCTAATTCCTTGAAAGCTTTACTTCCCTCCTCAGTTTGACTAGCTGTCATGGTTTGCCTGAGGATATGGCCCTAAGTGATAGCCAGATCAGTGTCATTTCAAGGACACTACCCCAGCCACTTGAGCTACTCAGCTCCGACCTTGTAATGGCAAATCATCTCTAAACCCATATTCAACAAAATGGGCTTTTCTTCCATAAGTCTTCTGCCTGGGGTTATAGTCACCAAGTTTCAATATCCCTTTCCATGGTTAGATTGGAAAAAGACTTCATTGTTCAATTATTTCTACTTAAGTTGTTCAAATTAATTCTACTATTTTTTTCTCCTCTGAAGTATTAGTAAAAGTCAAGAAGGCCAGAATAAAAGAGACTTTAATTCTAACAGTTCATTGACAGATAATTTTGGGGAATCTGATATTATCATGACATACTTTTTAAAACTGTGAATGTAAAGTCAGGGTCTGCGTGTTAATTTTCTGATGGCATACTTTCTGTGATAGGTGGAAGGGACCAGATTCAGGGTCACAGAGGACCCAGGAAACACAAAAACCCTCTGTTTTAGTTTGTAGGGCTGCCATCAAATAGTACCATAGACTAGGTAGCTTAAACAACAGAATATATTTTCCCACAATTCTGGAGGCTAGAAGTCTGAGATCAAGGTGTTGTCAGGGTTGGTTTCTTCTGAGGCTGCTCTTCTTGGCTTGCTGATGCCCATCTTCTCCCTGTGTCTTCACATGGTCTTCCCTCTGGGTGTGTCTGTGTCCTCATATCCTCTTCTTAAAGAGACACCAGTTATATTGAAGTAGGGCCCACTTTAATGACCTCCTTTTAACTTACTTACCTCTTTAAAGACCCTGTCTCCAGGTACAGTCACATCCTAAGATACTGAGGATTAGGACTTCAACATACTAATTTGGAGGGGAGGTGCACAGTTCAGCCCATAACACCCCAAGAGGTAGTTTAAATGCAAGAGGCTTTCCAAGTTATGTAAGAAATAGGGATCTATTTGCTTGGAATATTATTTATTCCTAGTAAGATAAAATTTGAAGATTCACTTAAGTTCTTTTAGTAATTATTTTAGCTTTTTATGTACAAAGTGGGATAACAGATGTTCCTATGTCAGTAGGAAGCAGGCCTGTGACTTTCGGATTTATAAGAGATTTGAGGAAACTGACTTCTTTAGCACTTCTGCCATTGCCCTGGATCATGCCCACTGAGCCTGAGCCACAATGAAATCTTAAATTCCCCCTACTGGAAAGCCCTGTGTTTAGTGGCCGTGTCACGAGATAGAAGACACAGTGAGCTTCCAGCTTTGGTATGTGAGTCTCTAGGAAGGTTTTCAAGGACGACTTCATGGAAAATCCTTTATTTTACCACATAAATCAAGCTGCCAGTCTATTCTGATTCCTTTCCCCCTAAACTGCACTGTAAATTTGGGGGAAACAGTTTTGTGCCCAGTTGTCTCATTATTGGCTAGAAAAGATAAACTGCTACTAAGCCACCATTTATTTCCTTTGGGAAAGAATGTAGTGATTCTGATACTAAATGGTAAGGATTTTTCTATCTGCTAGGTTGTTTCCACTTGCTATTTTTATATTTGGGACAGATATAAGTATGATGCTGTCTTAGTTTCAGTTGCTACATAGCAAATGACCCTAAAACCTAGAGGCTTAAAACATTTATTATTTCGTAGTTTCCATGTGTTGGAAATTCAGTAGCAGCTTAGCTGGGTGGTTCTGGCTCGGGGTCACTCATGGAGGTGGTCGTTCAGATGTTGGCCAGAGTTGCAGTCATTGGAAGGCCTGACTGAGGCAGGAGGATCTTCCAAGCTCACTCAGGTAGCTTTTGGCTGGAGAACCCCCATTTCTCACCTTATAGGGCTGCTTGAATGTCCTAATGACATGGCAGCTAGCTTACCCCAGGGCAAGCAATCCAAGAGAGAACAAGACAGAAGCCACACATTGTCTTCTGTGACCCTGTCTTAGAATTCACATACCATCTCTCTGTTGTATTCACCTGGTCACACGAACCAACCTTCTTCATACTGTGCGGGAGGGGACTGTGTGAGAGTGTAGATGCCAGTGGTGGGGTCATTGAGGCCACCCTGGAGGCCACCATGAATCCTTAGTGGGCTTTCCACCACTGGCATGCATAGGGCTTTAACCTGTAATTGCTGCTACTCTAGATCCGTGGGTCTTAACTGAGGGCTCCCCAGAGGATGTTAGCAGTGTCCGGAGACGTTTTTGTTTGTTCATCTGAGGGTCTGGGTAGTGGTGTGCTGCTGGCATCTAGTGGGCATCAAGTCAGGGGTGCTGCTCAACATCCTGCAGTGCACAGGGAAGTCCCCCACAGTGAAGGATTAGCCAGCCCAAAATATCAGTTATGCAAAGATTAAGAAACCCAGTTCTAGATTATTCCTTCAAATTATTGTCTAATCTAAGGTGTAATCACTTTCTGAAATTTATTTACAAAGTTATATATGAGTCTTTTTTTTTTTTAATATATGAATCTTCTTAATGCCTGTGATTTACACATCCTATTCCAAAAGTTGATATAAATAGTTCTGATAGGAAACTGTTCTGCTGGTAGGAAGAATTTATGTTCTGCTGTAAGAAGAATTTCTTAGATCAGTTTTTAGCCACCTTGAAGCAGCTCATAGGAAAGGAGTGAGAATCAGCTATCTAATTTAAATGTTCAACAAACCCTATTTCAGCTTAGGTACCACCTTCCAACGTGTTTGCACTACTATACTCATTCTACTATATTAAGAGCCGATCTTTTTTTTTAATAGGAAAAAATTTTTTATTAAGGCAGTGCTCTTCAACATAGGTATTCGTTCAACCAAGAAACAAAGATATCTTTAGATTCTTGACTTTGGGCTTTAATTCTTAAAAAATCAACTTTTATTGATATATATAGTATTTTTTAAGAAATTATTTAGTAACTATCTGCTATTATTATTATATAAGGTGTTAACTATACAATATTAAAACAGGTAGTAGATCTTAGTAGCTCCATAGAAAATAATTAAGTAATTAGTTCCACTGATTGAATAATGTTCAGTTAAAATATCCCTTTAGTATTTCTCTATAGGTGTTGCCAACCCTTTGGTCCTCATGGTTTGAAAGTAACCAGTACTAACTCATTCGACTGATTTTTTTTTTATTTATTGTGCAGCTCAATTAATTATTAAACACCTATTCTTTGCCAGGCAGTGTGCTGCTTAATTGAGATCTCTATTTGGATATCTAATAGATTTCTCAAATTTAACATATTCCAAATAAAATTTTTTTCTTGGCCGGGCGCGGTGGCTCAAGCCTGTATCCCTAGCACTCTGGGAGGCCGAGGCGGGCGGATTGCTCAAGGTCAGGAGTTCGAAACCAGCCTGAGCAAGAGCGAGACCCCGTCTCTACTATAAATAGAAAGAAATTAATTGGCCAACTAATATATAATATATAAAAAAATTAGCGCCGGCATGGTGGTGCATGCCTGTAGTCCCAGCTACGGGAGGCTGAGGCAGAAGGATTTTGAGCCCAGAGTTTGAGGTGCTGTGAGCTAGGCTGACGCACGGCACTCACTCTAGCTGGCAACAAGCGAGACTCTGTCTCAAAAAAAAAAAATAAAAAAATTTTTTCTTTCAATATTTGTTCCTTTATGTATTATGTCAATAAATGGTACCATCAAATCACCTAGATGCTTAAGCTTAAGACAAAATGAAAACAACAGAAAAAACTTAGGAAAATAAAATGCCTGGAAATCATCCTTGATTCAGCCTTTTTCTCATGGCCCATGTCCAGCCCAGCAGTGAATCCTGTTGGGTAAAC